TACAAATTTAAGATTGCATTTGCTTATAATGAAAACTCTCAAGGACACCTAATTCTTCGGATTACATGATAATGTCTAATGTACGACTTTTTTTTTTTTTGGACGCAAATGTATAATAAATTTAAAGTTGGAGAAGCTAACATGTATTTTTCCTAGAATAACTTAACTTATGGTACGCACACACACACATGAAGATCGTGTTACCTTCCAATATTTTTCCTTGTAGTTATAAATTGGTTTCTTCTTAGTTTTTGCCAATGCCAGTGTTTGCATAGACAATAATTGGTAATTGTTTATAGGTACATGCAAGCTGTGGTAGATGAGATCGTCTTTAATCATGTTGATCCAATGAAGGTGATGGTTATTTTTATTCTTCTTTTGGTCAAAGTTGTATGTTTTTTCTGTAATAATTCCCTCTTCTAAATAAATTTATTTGCGTGCCAGCATCCGCGAAGCTGGAGTTTGGGTAAACTTGTGCACGAGTTTAAGACAATCGGAGGGAAGATATTGGAAGGTAAATTTTAATTTAGTAACGCCATCTGATTCTTATTTTCTCATTGTTATTGAGTTCAAAATAGATGCTCTTCTGAAGACATGGGCGCAGAAATCACTGAGGAAAGGTTATTAAAAGCCATCACAAAATTACATCAAACGGTCTCCACAGATGCTGGTAACTTCGACTTTCCTGAAATGCCAAAACCTCCTAATGCCTTCAGAGGAATTCGCATGAAAAATTCTTCACTGGAACGCTGGCTTTCTATCTGCTCTGATGATTTGACACCGTGAGTATGCTACAAATGACAGGATTCTTAGAATCACTTATGCCACGTTGGATAACCACTTCGTTTTTGGTTTTCTATTTTTAAAAATTAAGCTTAAAAACACTACTTCCACCTATGTATTTTTTTCTTTTGCTTTTAAATTCCATTATCTACATTTTTTTAGTAAACATTTTCAAAACAGAAAATTAAAAGTGACATTGTAATCAAACCGGGTCTTAGTTTTTCTTTCTAAATTTTATTTCCCCCTCCTTCCTACTTCAGAATTGAATTAACGTTGAACCTCAAATGCAGAAATGGCAGGTACAGGATGATTGCTAACCTACTTCGCAAATACCTTGGGGATTTTGTAATTGCTTCGTATTTAAATGTTGTTCAAGAATCTGGTTATGATGATTTATACGTGAAGGAAATTGAGGTAGGATCCTTTCTCCAAGTTTCCCTTTCTGATAGCTCAAATGTTTGATTTAAAGAGTTATATATATATATATATATATATTTTATTTAATTATCTAGTGAGAAACAAACTTTAATTAAGAAGATGAATTAGGGGGAGTACAAATGCTTAAGTTGTGGTAAATAGAAAAGTAGAGGATTACAAAAGAAATTTGAATTAGGAGCCTAAAGGAAAGCATTAATAAGTGAAGATGTCTCTTCACATCATGATATCTAATTAAATGGTATGGGACCGAATGCTCTATTGAATAACAGTTCTCATTTTGTAATGCCTGTGAATCTTTGTTTGAACACAGAGAGCAGTTCTTGTGAAGACTTTAGATTGTTTCTGGAGAGATCATCTCATAAACATGAATAGACTCAGTTCAGCGGTATAGTCTATTTTCTCTTTGTAACTTCAACTTTTTGGTACTGTAGTCTAACAGGGAACGTTTGACAGGTAAATGTGAGAAGCTTTGGGCATAGGAACCCTCTAGAGGAATACAAGATCGATGGTTGTCGATTTTTCATCTCAGTTCTCAGTGCAACGAGAAGACTAACTGTGGAATCACTCTTGCGTTATTGGTCATCCCCAATGGAAACGCAAGAAATATTTTTTTGATTATCCAATAAGATTTTCATGCTATATAGCCTAGCAATTACCTCCTGATTACTGATCTGCCTACCATTATGCTTCTAAACCAAACATTCTTCCCCCTCCCTAATCCAAGCTGGGTTGCTGCAGATTTCTTTTTGATTAGGAAGGTTGATGTTATTGCCCAGCTTGCATTTTGGTGATCCTAGGTTTTGAAGCATTGACTTCCTGAAGATGTTTTCGCTGATGAGTTTGTCAACCACTGGGGCACAACTCGATTCACCATCATCGATCGATTTGTTGTATACTTGTGAAGTTATTTATATTGCGCGTGACTGGATGACTCAGAATAGCATGGAGGTCCGTAAAAGAGTTGCTGCCTAGTAAAAGGAACTCATCTTCTTAATCATGTAGAATGTACATATAAGAGTTTCTAGTGGTTAATTTACTTGTAATGAGGAATATAGAGGTTTAAAGGTTTTATTTTTCTCTGTAACGGTTTTGGGTTTGTCATGTTTTTCCATAGCCATGTAATGTTTTGAAAATGTATTTTTATGTTCAATTATTGAAAAGTATTGTCATATAATGTATTTTCATTATTGAAAAGTTTAATTTGGCGTTGAAAATTGAAATATATAACCGGTTGAGTAAACAATTACAGACCAACTTATTTTTTATGTTCATATTCCACGGAACCTTCCCCTATACCACCAAAACCCCCCTAGTTTCAATCATTTTTTTTTTAATTTTTTAATTTTTTAATTTTATCAATTAAGCCTATTTGTTACTTTGATTCAATTTGTATTTAAATATATGACTATAAATTTATTATTAAAACTGATTTGGTACCTCGACATGGTACTAGAGAATAGATTAGGTAGATAATATAGAGATGGGTGAGCGAAAAATCAAGGGACAAAGTGGACAACAAGGATATTTAAATTCGATATGCCGTTAATAAAAGGCAATATTAAAAAAAATCCAGTATACACTGTCAAACTTGAGGGACTAATTAAATTTAAAATTTAATCAAAATCGTATATATAAAACCAAAGATGATAAAAAATTAAAAAGAATAATGAAAATCGCATGTAGACCCACAAAAAATTAACGATGGATCCTTAATTAATAACAATAGTTGTATTGAAAAAACAAAGTTTGTTCTTTTAGTCCTGAGGTAGGTGTCTATTTGGTTTCTGAAGTTTCAAAATGAACACTTTTGGTTCCTGAGGTTTGAGATAGGTGTTTAATTGGTCACTGAAGTTTCAAATTGAACACTTTTGATTTGAGGTAGGGGTCTAATTGGTCCATGTTTCAAAATGAACACTTTTGATCATTGAGGTTTAAAGTAGGTGTCAACTTGGTCTCTGAAGTTTTAAAATGAACACTTTTGATCCCTGAAGTTTGAGAAATAGTTTTAAATGGTATTTCTTTTTACTGTTAATTAACTAATATTAAAATGACGTGATAAATTGCAATTAAATTGTTTATTATAGTTGCTGATGTGACAAATTATATTAATTAAATAATATATGTGTAGGTGATGGTGCTTTCTCCTTCCTCTCTTCATCTTTTCCTCTCTCTTTCTCTTACTCTTTTGCGGCGACCACCACGTCTTTGCCGCCACCGTCCGCCATTCATACCGGTCATATGTCATTTAATTAATATAATTTGTCACATCAGCAGCTACAATAAACAATTTAATTGCAATTTGCCACGTCGTTATAATATTAGTTAATTAACAGTAAAAAAAATCAGGGACTATTTAGAACTATTTCTCAAATGACTTGTTTATTTTAAAACTTCAGGGACCATACTTCAAACCTCAAGGACTAAAAGTGTTCATTTTGAAATTTGAGGGACCAATTAGACACCTACCTCAAATCTCAGAGACCAAAAATGTTCATTTTGAAACTTCAGGACCAACTAGACACTTAATTCAAACTCAGGGACCAAAAATGTATTTTACCCTAATAAATATTAATTTAAAATTATATATATATAAAATGTAGAAAATAATTTCAGAAAAACGAAAACCAAATACACACAATTTATTCTCATATAAATTAAAGACATTTCTATGTAAATACAACAAATACGCATCAATACATACAAACCACAGACATATACAACCAAAGGAACCTAAGAAACCAACCACAACTCTCATCAAAGATCATCAAGATCTTTGATAAATTTTATTGACCAATCATTTACTGAGCTAATTAAAGTTTGATGGGGTTCGAAAAACAGCTTCTGAATCACCACGAAAAATACTTGCCTGCATACCGATCTAACTTCTAACGTGTATTTTTGAGCTGTGTGGCTCAAAAGTTTAATAGGATGATCTACGTACTCATGATTAATTGGTACTTAGGCAAGCATATTGTTCGAATCACCAACACTCGTAGAATTTGATGTCAAATCGAAGTCGGAAATAGACCTGTCCTTCCAAGGCATCAGTGAAGATGGTAGCGATGCCGCGGTGCATGAAGAAGTCTCCAGTACCGCCAATGACCGAAATGTCTCTGGCCATCAGCTGGGCCAAGTCCGCTCCGACCAAGCTGATGGTGCCTTGATAGGCAGTAGAGTTGAGATTGAATGTGAAGCCGAACCATGCGCTGAAGGCGCTTTTGTCGTCGTAAATGTAAAGCCCTTGAGCGCGTCCTACGAGTTCGGAATAGAGATTGTTGTCCGAAGTGATGGGGTCGTCAAAAACAACTACGTCTCCAAAGTGAAATTGGGGAGTAGCCAAAGTGGTCAAGTTTGCGCCTTGTGGGGCTGCAACTATGGCCGAAGTGGCATTCTGTGCGTTGCTTCCATTGAATCTGAAGTCATGAAAGTAAAGAAGTAACTGTTTGCAAGGCTGAGGTTTTTGTTGGGCTGAGGAGGAAGAAGAAGAAGCAAACAAGAACAAGAAAGCTATTGGAATTATAAAAATAGTGCAACTTTTTGTTGAGGAAGCCATATTGAAAACACACTTCAAAAAGGGATATTTTTGGTTTTTTCTAATGAGGTAGAATTAATTGGTTCCCTCTTTCTTTGCATGGCTTTATATAGAAGGAATGGGAATGGCACTGTTCACCAGAGTTGTAAATTTGTCGTAACTTATTAATAGGATGCTATTTATTCTCGTACTTTCTGGGACGTTTTTCATTTCCTAATGATTTTGTTATTTTCTAGCAAATACTTTTTATTATCAAATATTATATTCTTTGTAATTGTACGGACTATTCACTCTACGTCATTCTTTATCTATCAAATTAAGCGTTTGAGTTAAGTGGTAATTTAATATGGTATCATAACACGAAATCACATGTTATCAAACTTTGTTAATATATCATTTTCTTTCCAATAGATAAACTTAAGCTTCACTGTTTTCGAATTTTGTGATCCAAACAATAGAAATTTTGAAAATGTAAATATATTACTTAAACTCATTTTATGTTTGTTAAAATTAAAACATGTAAAATGTAATATATTCCAAATTATAAAAAATGATAATAAACTAATTAATATAAATTTAGATTAAACTAAAATTTAGTTTGTAATTACTACTGGTTTACAAATATATTACTAACTAAATACACATTGAATGAATAATTGATCAGCTCACCCTAAATAACTCTTCACCAAAGATATTGAAGATATATATCAATTACCGTTGAGCTGCACTCGCTTTGATAGCTAAAGCTCGATTTAGAAGTCCTACAAACCCTCTCACCCAATTTAAAGTCCTCATTACATTATTATAACCCTAAACTATTTTATTCACCTAATTCATGTGTGTGAGGATTGCGGGTAGTTTGGGAAAAAAAAAATAATAATAATTGGTAGTTTGTAATATTCTGAAAAATAAGATGATTTTTATGAATAATTGAATGCTAAAATTGTACGAACTTCATTAAAAAAATGTTGAAAGCAGGACGATGATGATTCTAGACAAGTGTCTTGTTTATTTTATTTTTATTTGTATACTCCATAGAACCTAATTAATTCGCTATATATATACCACCAAATGGTAAGTTTGTACTAAAATCGTAAGTTTGAAGCCTATTTTATTTGATTCAATTTGGAATTTTAACATTATTTCATCATCACATCCATTTCAGTAATGAGATTAAGAAAGTTGAGGATGATGACAATCCTGCACCATTTCAATTTTGTGTTTCTCATCTAAAATTGGGTACCTCCTACGTGTTACTATAATAAAATTGACAAACTAAAAGAATTTAATGCATTTAAGACGAGAGAGAAAATAAAATAAATAACTGTTAATCATTTTTATTATTTTATGGGGTAGGTATGAAGATACCTACTCATCGATAAGCATCTAAGTTTTATCCTACCATTATTAATAGGTTGATTTTCAAAAACTAAGACTTTGTTGTTCTTGTATTTCATTAAAATTAATCCAATAATAATGAATAATGGATGGAATTAATTGTGTGAGTAGTTCGTAATGAAATAAATTTAGTTTTAATCCTCATATAGGTCATAAATATGAACATATACAAAGAAATAACCTATTGTTTTAATTACCTAACCTATTATAATATAATTCAAAATATATATATTTCGTCGAGATAATATTTATGAAAGTCAATCCCGAATGATGGTGGGTGGTAGGAGAATCGATCAACGAAGTCAAAAGTCTCACATTTAGCGGAAGGTATCTTGTGATAGATTAGGTTAATAATGTTAGTCATGTCATAAACACTAAAGCTAAGTGCTCTACTAAGGAAGAATTGGGCAACATATAATTTTCTAGAAGAATTGAAATAATGATAATTGTTACACTTATATTTATCTATTTATTTTAGCATAATACATGTGAGATATCTATCGTGTTAAGCTAATATTTTCAATATATAAGGTAATCATATAGAATTGCAAATGTAATTGATTGCAAATGGATTAGTAAAAAAAATGCTAAAAGAAAACAGTAAAAGAAAAAAAGCAAAAAAAAAAAAATATATATATATATATATATATATATAAAATAAATGCAAAAACACCAAAAGGGAGGGACATTTTTAACTCTTAAAAAAAGTTCACATGCTTCAATCTCAAGCCTAATCTAACTATAATTAGAGAATAAAATAGGACAGGTAAAAATATACTATATGCAAATTTTTAAAAGTTAATTAAATACTCATCATATATGAATCTCTCTTTTTTTTTTCAATTGAAACTCATATATGATTCTTTAATTTAGAAACACGAGAGAAAAATAAACTAAATAGATACATAAGCATTGATAACCAGCTATATCTTTGACTAATTATTTTTTACCCATTAAAATAATACATTTAACTAAATTTCAAAATATAATAGACAGAGTCAAAGCGAGCATAGTTTAACGGTAATTGACATATTTCTCTAACCAAGAGGTTGTGAGTTCGATCTCCACTTTCACATGTTTCATAAATTGCACTCATAAACTTTCAAACGTAAAAATTAAGTCCTCGAACTTTAATAAGGGAAAAAGAATTGCACCCTAAACTTTCAATTTTAAAAAATTAAACTCTTAATTTAAAAAAAAAATTTATTTTTATTCTCTTTTCTTTTTTCTACTCTCTCTTCTTGGATTTTCCTCACTACTATCTCTCCAAGAGAACTCGTGGTTTCTCCTTCGTCCTTCCTTACCTTCCCAATTCCCCCAACAAATTCTCCAAGATCCAAATTCCAGCATGCCGTTAACCAAAATTCTCTCACCATCGTCACCATGCATGGCCCCCCAGAACATGGGTTACATAAACTTTTTTTTTCTTGTATTGAGAGAATCAATCAAGAGGAGCTAGGGTTTACGCTCTCTTCGATTGAGAAACTGAGGGCTTTTTCAAAACGGAGGAACTAAGGCTTACGCTCTCTTGCTGTCGTCGTTGAGGGATAGGTGGTGAAGGCTGATAGAGATGGCAGAGACAAAAAGAAGAAACCAACCAATTTTCTAGAGAGAGGAAGCAGAGAAAGTAAAAATAAATTTTATTTTTTCATTTATGAGATAATTTTGTTTCATTTTTTAAAATTGAAATTGATGGGTTCAATTTTTACAACTGAAAGTTCGAGGGTGTAATTGCAATAAGTATGATACTTTATGCAATTTACCGTAAAATTTTTATACAATTTTGATAATGTTTCTAAAAAATGAAAAATAATAAATATAAATAGTTGTCAAATATATGAGTTTCTTAAATAAAATCGAAAATGAAAAAAATTAAACAAGAAGTTTAGCAAACGGGTCCTAAGTAACTACCTTAAAGTTTATCTTTGAAGGTTAAAAATTATTTTAACTAATATTTAACCTATGAATTAGGAGTTAGATTCATATTCAAAATTTATCTTAAATCTGTTAAATTTTATTTTTATGTCATTTAATACCTTTTTTTTATTATAACATGCGGGTTGRAGTTCCTTTTATTGAAAGTAGATACCTTAATTAGTTTAGTTAGATTCTGCTATTTAATAGTTTTCTTTTAATATTTTAGGGGTTGATCTTTTTATTGTACCCAAGAATGTTTTTTTTATCCTTTTTAAAAAAATTTATATGTGAGACATAATTAGCTCTTATTATTCATTTAATATGTTTCCTATTTATGGTTATTGATTATATTTTTACTAATCATTATTTACGTGAAATTATCTATAAAAATTTATATTTTTTTTAATCTTTATATCTTTTAAAGTGTCTAATGTATAGAATCCGAGTAAGCTTGAAAATCCATTATTTACATTATGAATAGTACATAGAAAGTGTTGCATGAATTTACAAGCGAATAAAATATATATACATACTACTAAAGAATTACGAAGCTTTCATAAATAAAAATTATACTTATTTTATTAAAATTACCTGTTCCACCCTCACGGATCATTTTGAATTGGCTTTTTTTTACTTTTATATTTATATGTATTAAATATATATGATCAAGAACAACTAAAATTTATAAAATCAAAGCGAGCATAGCTCAACCATACTCGACACATATCACCAATCAATAAGTTGTGAGTTTCTCCCTCCGTCTCCACATATTTTCCTTTGAAAAAAAAAACTAAATTTATAAAACTATACCATTTACTAACCTAACTTAAAAAAAAAAAAAAGGATTGGGATGCATAAATGGGCTGGATAAAAATCATATTAGAAAGGCCCATTTATATTTAGTACTCTGCTGTATTTTCCTTGTAACAAATATATATGTCTAACTATTTTCTCCTTACACTAGTTTCTCTCATTTGGCCTATATACTTCTTTTTAACTATTTTTTTTTAATAAAGAATATAACATTATAAATGTTAAGGTAAAAGATTCAATCTTCCCTAACAGTCAAATATATTTTAACTGGAGGTGTATCTCAATTACCGTTGAGCTATGCTCGCTTTGACTATAGTAATTATATTTTTAATCTTTGGTACTTTTAAAAGTTTTATGCATTGTCGTATCTTTATGATTAAAGCTTACTTCTTAAACAACCTTATTATTAGTAAAGAATAACAAAAATTAGACATAACCTATAGTTGCACTAAAATAGTTTCTCTCTAATACCTTGTTTAATTATTTTTTCTATCTATGCTGTACATTTAAATACTCAATAAAATCAAACAAGTATATGCATTTTGGTTTGGAAGAATCTTTAGCTTAAAAAAATGAGACTGACTTCATATTTCTCCTAAGTTTGAGTGTTCTGTCCACTCAATAAAGTGCAAGAAAAGATCCATAATGAATTATATAATAATCCCAATTAACTTAATTTACATGAAAAAGTTTGCCTTTTTTTCCTCGTTAAATTATGAGGCCATTTTCACATATATAATAATTATAAGTAAATTATTAAAACATGTAAAATAATTAGGTAATGTTTATAAAGTAACATAAAAAGTTGTTATTTTGATCGTTATAAAAAATGTATTCAAACTCTTTTTAAGCCTTTACTCTGGGATGAATTAACATCTGTAAGATCAACCTTCAACACACTTCTCAATAATTTAGAGTAAAAACATCAAAGACTAAGAAAAAAACTTTTATTTGACCAATCATTTACGTATGGTCGACCATTCATCAATGTCCAAAACGAAAAACAAAGTTGATATGTCAACCAAATCAAGAGTCACCAACACTCGTAGAACTTGATGTCAACTCGGAGTCGAAAATAGACTTCTCCTTCAAAAGCATCAGTCATGATGGTAGCGACACCGCGGTGCATGAAAAAGTCACCGGTGCCACCAACAACGGAAATGTCTCTGGTCTTGACCAAGATGGGGTCAGCTCCCATGAAGTTGATGGTGCCTTTATGGGCCGTAGAGTTGAACGAGAACGAGAAGCCTAGCCATGCAGTGTAGGTGTTCTTAGTGTCGTAAATGTAAAGCCCTTGAGCCCGACCGACGGGGTTCGAGTGGAGATTATCGTCCAAAGTGATGGGATCGTCAAACACAACTATGTTTCCAAAGTGAAATTGGGGTGCCAAAATGGTTAAGTTTGAACCTTGTGGAGCTGCAACTATGGCTGAAGTGGCATTGCCTGCATTCTTCCCGTTGTAGAGAATGTCATGAAAGTAAAGAACTAACTCTTTACAAGGCTGAGGTTTTTGTCTCTTTCCCCGAGGGAAGGCTGAGGAAGAAGAAGAGAAGAAGAAGAAGAAAGCTAGAAGAATAATGCATTCTTTTGCAAATGAAGCCATTACAGCACTCTCCAATCAGCTGTGTGTGTGATTGGTTCAAAAGGGATCTTTTAGAAAGATTTCCACTGAAGTTGAGTGAATTTTGCTGGGTGCTTTCATCACTTTATATAGGCAACATAAAACAAGGTAGCGAAGAAATGAGAGAAGTCAATTGTCCAAACAATACTTAGATATTGATCTGTAGTATCTATCTCTCACGAACTACCACTAAATTTTAGTAATGGTCAAGTATTATTGTTTTTAATTATTTCTTATCTTTAAATTAAAAATATTATATAATACAATTGAAATTAAATTTTAATTTTTATATTTGAAAATATTATATATATATAAAAAAGTTAGGATGTAAAAGATGAAAGGAGTTTGCTTATTGGACTTTTCTTCTTGATTGGAGCTTTTGGGAGATCACTCACACCTACTTCTCTCTACTTGTCATCACTTCCATGATTTTAACTTCAAAAGGGTATTTTATTTATTTATTTATTTACTTTGTTCTGTTTCTTTTAGAGCTCAAGCAATTAAGCCTTGACTTTAAGTAGAGCATTTGGGGTGCATTTGGCTCTTGGATTCAATGTTTTATAAGTTTGATCATGAGTGCTTTTAAAATTTTTTCAGTACTAGTTAGAAATTTTGATTAGTGTCGAAAAAGGATGTTTTACGTAAAGTTTTAAATTAATGTTGATGTTGATAGAAATGTCGATGTCTCAATTTTATGGAAATGTTGATGGAAATATCCATAAAATATGGATGCGATGGATGTTTCTGGAAAAGTTATAAAAATAATAAATAAGAATTTATTCTTTCTACATAAGTTAAATAAATACTATTATTAGTGATATTTTGTTCGATATTTTTTCAATATTATAGAAATATCGATTTATCTATCATAATGAGCCGATCAAATCCACATGCCTCACCTCCCCTTCCTCTCATATTTTTGTTAATGATGAATAAACCACTAATAGATTAGATAAATTTAATTCATATATTACTGATGGATTATTTATCATGA